GTGTGTAGCTGTGTGTGTGGCTGTGTGTGTAGCTGTGTGTGTGGCTGTGTGTGTAACTGTGTGTGGCTGTAAGGCTCTATATTTATCCGATCCCTATGGGAAAGAGAAAGGATCTCTGCCTCCCCACGAAGCTGCTGATGATGCAGGAGGATTTTGCAGAAGCACCGTGGGACTCCCGGGACTGGATCCATCCCTGTTCTGAAGAACCTGCCGCTGAAGTTATTATTTATAATCATGTTTAGGATGTTGTTTCAGTGAACTGCTTTTACTGACGTTTCAGCTCGTTTAGAGGGAATTTGTTCTTGAACATTTTTTTATTATTTTATTTGACCATAAATTGAAAAGGAAATAATCAACACTTTTTATTTATTCGGTTTCATTTTATTTTTTAAAGGGATTTTTTCAAAGTTCGTTATGAACATATAACATTTTTCTGGTTTGATTACGCCTTTGAATGCAACTAAACAAAATAAATAAATGGCTAAAAAAACACATAGAGTTTGACGAAATCGACAAGAGTTTTGCTGTGATTTACAGKTTTGGAGCTCAGCCTTCACATAATGATAATGAGACAAAGTCATCCTTTGGGAGACAGTAGCTCTTGTCTTTGTCTCAGCTGTCCTACAGGTGATGCTGCAGGCTGACAGGATTTCAGAGTGACCGCTAGGGGGCGGTAATTCTCCCCTCRGGCTTTTCTTGATACTATACATGGTGACTTTTTTTTTTTGTAAAACGGTTAGTTGTAGGAAAAAAAAACATATCTTTATTGTTGTTGATTTTTTTGTATCAAAGTTAAGATAAATTTTGCAGTTTTCTTTATAATTCTGAAACGGATGAAAATCTCCCTGGGATTAAGCAAGGTTTTGTTTGAATAAAAAGGCAGAAAACTTGTTTTGCATATAAGACTAATAAGTAACACGCATAATCCAATTACCATTCATACRAACAAACCCTGCGACTCCGTATAAAAGAAAGATGCAATGAGTTAAATAAAAGAAGCACCGTTTCTTCCATTTTGATCAACAAAAAACATAAAATGCTCATTTTAAATCCAAGCAGCAGAAAATATAAATATAAAAGTTTATTTTATTGAAACTGAAAATGGAAATGACATTCTGGAACTGTTTAGGAATGTTTACAAAATCAGATGTGTGAGAAGTGAGCTATGGGTCCTGATCTAAACTGCAACTTCATGTGGACATATAGCTTTTTTTTTGTTGTTGTTGTTGTTGTTGCTCCTCTCTTATTTCAAATGCTGTTCTGTCTTTTTAAAAAGCTGTCAAAGCAGCAAGTGTAAATGCAAAAAAAAAAAATACCTTAAACACTCTAAACAGTTAAGTTTTCCCCCTTCAGAATCTACACGGTATAACCTTCAGACTTTGAGAAAGCAGAGCCCAGTCCTCCATGTTCTAGGTCACCCTCCACCACAAGACCCCCTTTTTTTCTGGGCAGAGAACACAGACAGTAAATGTAGATACATCAGATACTGAATATTTAAAAAGGCATAGAGATGAAGCARTAAATGACAAAGTAAAGCTGGCGTGGCCGGGCATTAATAACTAATGGGTAGCACTGAGTTATAGGCCGCTGCCGTTATAATGGAAGTGTCATTGCAAATCAGCAGCTGTCCGAGGTTATTATTATTTATGCATAATTGATGGCACAACCACAAGGAAACATGTCACAYTCAACAAATCCTAACACCTTGGGAACAACAATGATGGTGTCAACAGACGTAAAGGTCAGGAAGGAGACAATGCCTCCGAGCTCAGATTTACCTTTAGTAGAGAAGACATGTCTGTGCAGAGGGCTACAACTAGTTACTACATGCTGCTGATGGTCTTATTGCTGATCAGTAAAACAAATTAGTTGACATAAATGTCTTCAGAGATACACTGTTAGTGTTATACTGTATGCTCACAGAGAATTTGAATTTTTTTTTTTGCTGTAATTCAGTTTTTTTACTCAACCAAAATATATATAGTTGTGTTTTGTTTTTTTTACAAAATGAATTCATATCGTCAGTATATTTTCTTATACTTTTAAGCACTTTTAATTTAATTATTTACTGTTTGTGGCTTAAAAACTTAATAAAATAAGCGTTTTAGTATTTTAGTAACTTTAAACTCAACATCAGCTACAACACAGTGTGATAACATTAATAAAAATGTTAACATGCCTTCGTTTGTAATGTTGCATTCTATGTACCTGGGAAATAAAACAATTATTCTATCATTTGGTACAGACACGATTCAAAGTCCTTCCAAAACATTTACAGTTCCTCCAAAAGCACTTGCTCTTCGTTTTATTTAAACAACTATTAAAGAATGATCGTCAAAATGTTTTCTTTCATCAATTAATTGACGAAACTTTTTATTTCCAGCTGCCTTGAATGCCTCACGACTCCTATTGAAAACGTCAGTGCTCAGTGACCAATGAGCAGGCGAAACGAAGCCTTGCTGGGTGACGTATGCCGGAAATGCAACCAGATTTCAAAAGTGTTTGAATGAGCAGGTTTTTTGCCGTTTGTTTCTGTCACAAAAGCTCTTTCCCTGCGGTCGGAGTCATGCAAACGTGGAGTCTCGTATCGATTAGCGTGTTGCTTGGTGTCGCTGTGAGATGGGGCGTGTCGTTAAATTCATACTCAGGTTAGGAAATGTGTGGAGCTGCATGTAAACAATGATGTTGTTTACACCATGTATTTGTTTCAGAGTAGCTTCTTTGACTATCTGTAAAGGCAAAAGTACTAACAAAGCTGCTTTACTTGTATCGGAACGGCATTTTATTTTACTATTCGCTTTTATTTACTGGTTTGAGATACTATGTGTGTTAGCATCTTCTTGCTATTAGCATCTTAGCTGTCATCAAACTGAGCTGACTGATTTTCCTTGTAGGGGCTGGGGAACCTCCCATGTTTGGTGACTATGAAGCCCAAAGACACTGGCAAGAAGTGACTTACAACCTCCCACTGCAGGAATGGTCAGTCTAGTGTTAGTTTAACGCCAAATGTATATTTTAATCCCTATTTTGTGAAATCCATACCCCTAGAAATACATATAATAATGGTATTCCTAGGTTATTACATTGTTGACACTATCTCTGATGAGTATCTGCTTTCTACATTTGCCCTGTAAACCTATTTTGTACCATCCAGGTATTTTAATAGTACTGACAATGACTTGAACTACTGGGGGCTTGACTATCCTCCTCTCACTGCTTACCACAGCTGGCTCTGTGCTCATATGTGAGTATTTGATTTATTCAGAGAGGATTATCTACAGTATGTTCCTATATTTTGTAAAGAAATGAGCAAAAAAAAAGAATTGTATTATACCCTCTATGCAATGTACAAACACAATGTCTTCATTGTGTATATTTGTATCTACGGTACTTCTGTGTATTTAAAAATAGAGTTATAAATAAAATTAAAAAAATTCTAAATTTTGCAGAGCCAAGATTATTAACCCGGAATGGGTGGAGCTGCATAAATCTAGAGGTTATGAGAGTCCAGAGCACAAGTTATTCATGCGAACTACAGGTAAACTATGAAAAAACTACTGAATAATAAGAATATTAAAGTAACTGTGATTGTTGTTGCTTTACATTTATAAATAGTTCAGGTTGTAAATACTTGATGTTTTATGCACATGACCAAAGCATTTATTTTGTGAAACAGGCAAAGACCTTTATTCTGCATAAGAATCTAACTTCTTTATTTTATCACATTTATTATGTTATGTGCTTTAGCTTTTAAAACAATAGCTAATTGTTGTTTATTTAATTTTAACAAGTAATCTTAGTCATTTAAATATTTTTTTCCCCTCTGTTTCAGTCTTAGTCGCAGATGTGTTGATATACATTCCTGCAGTTGTGTTATACTGTTTATGTCTGACTGATGGCTCCTCAAAGAAAAAGGTAACAGTTATAAGTTTGAGATCTTAACTGTTCAATCTGAAAATAAATTTTCCCTTCTAACTTTTTATGCCAGTTTTAACTTTTCAATGTAAACTATTAGAGGTACAAAGTCAATAATGCTGGTAATTTTATTTACGCTTTGTATTAAATTGGAATCTTTTCTAAGAAATTAACTTTTTTCTGTCATTCTAGGTTTCCAGTCTTCTTTGCATTCTTCTTTACCCAGGATTAATTCTCATTGACTATGGGCATTTTCAGTATCCTTTAATGTGCAACTTTTTCCACATTTCCCCATCATATGTGTTTTTTAACCTCACTGCAACACCATAAAAGATTGTACACATCTGCAAAATGTTTAACATAATCTGGCATTCCACGATGGACCAGTAAGACCAGTTGGTACCAGAAAGAAAACTTAAATGTTTGTTCTTGGCATCCCTTTTTTTCCCCCTTGTTTAAATCCATTATTTAGTATTTACCTTGACAGAATCAGGTACAACTGTGTGAGTCTGGGTTTTGCCCTGTGGGGGGTTCTGGCTCTGGGTCTGGGTTGGGATGTGTTCGGCTCCATGGCCTTCTCCCTGGCTCTCAACTACAAACAGATGGAGCTGTATCACGCACTGCCCTTCTTCTGTTACCTGCTGGGAAAGTGTGTCAAAACCGGCCTGATGGGACGCGGGTGTGCATTTTTTAAAAATTATTAGTATTAGTATTATTTTGGATTGTTTTTAATTGTCTCAATTTTTTGTTTATTTTAGTGTTATAATCACAGTTTTTTATGCAATCATTCATGTTCAGGTTTGACATGTTTTGTACAGTTTGTCTGCCCCAATTGTATGGAGGACCAAAACTGACATAATTAGAAATGAAAGCAGAAATATATAAATAAATAAAAAATTACACTTAAAATGCAGCAATTAAATTAAAAAAGAACTTTACCTCATGTTTTATAATTTTATTGGGCATTATATTTATTTGTCCATCTTAGTTCCAATAAATCATCTCCTCCTATTGGTCAACAGAGAGGAAGGAGCAGGATCCACGTGCAGCTCTACTATGCATGTTTGTGCTGCCTCAGTTTAGCCTAAGGTTTAGTTAAAAACAAAGGCACAGGTAAATGTTTTCCTCCTCACCTTTGTTTTAAACTAAGCTTAAAACTTTAAGCTAAACTGAGGCCGCACAAGCATGGACAGTAGATTAGCACATGGATCCTGCTCCTTCCTCTCTGTTGACCAATAGGAGGAGATGATTTATTGGAACTAAGATG